CTTGTCAACACGAGTCTGGCCATGAATGTCGACTCATTCGAACAATTATCAACTTGAACAGGACGCTTCCGGTTGAAAAGATGTGAATCGATACCGGTTTTGACAAACTTTGTCGTGTGTGCACCGACATCAAGCTATGAGGAAGACAAAGTTGAAACGCATTGTAAGGACTTGGAGAAGCTCTACAGAGAGGAAAATACATTATTTAAGATCATCATCAGAGATTGCAATACTAAGACTGGACCATGAAAAAGGAATCATTGGGACTAACGGATTAGAATGGAACGAGCAAGTTGAACGGCTGTCTGAATTTGTCATGGGGTTATGACCACTCATGGTAACTCGCTTCAGAGGCCCCGCTCTCAACGATGGACGTAGAAGTTTTCCAGTGGACAGCACCCTGGTGAAACAGCTCATATCATAGTAAATCGAAGGTTTTGCCTAGCCGATGTCACTATTGTCCCAAAGTTTTACTTGGGATCAGAACATCACCTTCTTCGCGCAAGATTTCATTGCACGCGAAAGGAGAAAAAGCGGCTTAATTAAAAAACGTAGTCCGCCAAAACCGGGGTTTATTCATACCATTCGTAGAGTCCTATGAAGATCCCGCTATTGACAACATTGAAAAGGAATACGATCTGCTCATTCAACATCCTTACATTAACGCTGTGAAGCTGTGAGTTCGGAAATCACCAAGAAACGTCTGTGTTCAAAAAACGTCGAGCTAACAAAGTGAACTCCACGATATCAACAACTATCGCCTAATCTGCTTATTGTCTGTCGTCTGCAAACTTTTCAATCGGGTCGTCCTAAACAAGACTGGCAGAATACCGGACGAAGGGTAGCCATATGAGCAAGCACGATTTCGAAAAAGGTTCGGTACGATGGATCACATGTACACGATAACAATACCGTAAAAGTACAAGAGACCGCTCCGTCTTATCTTCGTCGATTTAAAGAAGGCTTTTGACTCAGTCAAGATAGAAGTCGTGGAAGCCCTAAACGCTCAAAGGGTCCATGCTTAATATATAAAGATTCTTCGCGAGATGCATAAAAATTTCACAACCAATATATCACCAATTTAGAACGATGTTGACATTTTTCGAAACCGACCTTCCCTAAACCTCGGTGTGACTAATCAATATGTATTCTTTCTTGATAAGCTTGCACGAGGTTGACAAATATATTTATTTTCGGCTAACGTTTCGACGTCTTCGTCTTCCTCAGAGCCGGTGATCCGAGTCGATGGTCCATGCTTGTTGTTCGCCTCGACGTTGCGTCTTCGCCTTCCTGTCGAGCCAGATCTTCCTCAGCGAGCCATCTTCTCGAATGAGGCATCCTCACTCAGTGATGCCCTTTTATACACGATGCTGATGGTGGATATATAATGACAATGTCCGGTGGTAACAACTTGTATTTCTTCCGGACATACATCATTGCGCACATCGTGCAGAGGTCGGTGTATTATCAGCTAGCACAAATCACCGGCTCTGAGGAAGACGAAGACGTCGAAACGTTAGCCGAAAATAAATATATTTATCAACCTCGTGCGAGTTTATCAAGAAAGAATACATACTGATGTTGACATAGCCACCAAAAGTGGGGTTAGGCAAGGCGATACCATCTCGAGAAAATTATTTATCGCCATCCCCGAGAACGTCATGCGAACATTGCAATGGGATAATATGGGAATGGAAATCGATGGTCAGCAATTAAATCATCTTCGCTTCGTTGATGACATCGTCCTTATAACACCAAACATTAGCAAGGTGGAACGAATGCTTGCCGACTTTGATAAGGCGTGTAAAAAGTTCGGCCTTCGACCGATTCTCACAGAAACGATTTTGAAGAAGAACGGAGTGATTACCTACGCACCATTCACTCTCAACGAAACAAATATCCCCGAATGATCCAGTTGCGTCTCTCTATCGGGAAATCAACATGATGAACGACTTAACTCCAGAGTTAAGCAGCAGGAAACAACGGCTTTAGGAGTTTAGAAGAGCATCGATATTGTGGTAAAGGGAACAAAGATCAGACGACTCCGTGTCCACCTTTTCGACTTCACGATACTTCCTGACCTAACGTATGCGTGAGAAACCTGATCGCTGTTCAAGCAGCACGAAAGATCACTCTGCGTTAGCGAACGCGCACTCGAAAACAAGATACCATGAGTATACCGTATCCGAGAAGTGAAGGAAGGAATCCAAAGCTCCGATTTACGTCGACTATCGAAAATATAAAACGCTGGACAAGACCCGTTAGTGACTGCAATCCTCCAGATGTCAAACGTACAGCAGGAAGATCACCAACCCGATGGTTAGAGTCTTTCACGAAAACCTTAGAAGAAAGATATGATGCTCAACGAGACCTTGGAACGAACAGGACTCACTGGGCTACTCTTGCACGCGATAGGGAAACATAGAAGACTTACTGGTAGTCACTGGTGTCATTCGACGACGGACGACAAGTAGTACAAACAATGTAACGTACTTGTAGCCCTCTCGCCAATAATTATCCCCTTTTGTGTTTCAAAAACTAGCTGCATATGCCTCAAAAGTCAGAATATGACTGAAAGTACTCATTGGTTCCAGAATGTCGGAAATTTATTTTTTCAAACTGAACAACACTCTTGGTTGTTGGAGAAGAATGTGTAGATTCTACTGATATTTATTTTGATCAATAAGACTGTTACTGGGACGTTAGGGCATCCTAGTTTTGTTGATGAAAATCCGCCACCACCCTTGCGCTAACCCAGTACAATGTCTTCTAACGAGAGAAGTGTGGAAATACCATACGAAGAGCAATGCGTTATACGGATGATTGCCCCAAATAAAGTAGAAATGTTACATTACCAGCCACCGGTTTTCGCTACCACTTATTACCATGTCATTTTTCCAATTACAAACTTGATTGGAGTGCGGATCCGTTTTTATAAGAACGCGTTGCCATCTCAAACACTTCTCTTTTTACTCACGATGGTGCAATCATGAAATGATGGAGTCCAGTTGTGAAACCGATATTTAACCCAAGGTGAACGCTTACACACTGATAAGAGAAACCTTAGTTTGGCGTTTTCTCTGTTTGGTTATGGAGGTGTTTGCCCGAATAGATTGCTGTCAACTTGACCGTTCCAGGATCTGAGGAGGGCGAAATCCGCCGAAACGTCAGGTTGTTCGTGAATAAAGAATAAAATAACACCTCGCGTTTGCTCAACAAGAATACGAAGAATTACTGATAAGAAATTCACTGCCAGCTAGAGGTTCTGTGATTGTTTATGTCTCGACTGAACAGAAATTGATGAAAGTACAATTAGGTTGGTCCTGCTCTCCGAGTTCAGCGATTCCTTCGATCTGTTCTGCAGATTAGTACGAGACTTGTCTGGGAGGATAGCAGCACTAGCTTGATGCACCAGCAGAACAACGCAACTCATGGTCCATGCAAGAATTGTATTCGAGCGACCCATAGCTTACGGCCATACCAGAAAGCACGCCATCCCGTCTGATCTGGCAAGTTAAGCAACGTTAGGCCCGGTTAGTACTCGGGTCGGGACTGATTGGGAATCTCTGGTGTCGTAAGCCTCTTTGCATTTATGGCGCGTGTGGCGCACTGGTTGGAGACGCCCTGCAACACACACATGAGGTCGATCCCCGTAGCTCACCAAGCCTTCCATCCCTCCGGAGTTGACAAAGTACCAGACTTGTCTGCTGAGAAGATAGCAACACTGGCTCGCCACATCGGCAAGTCACCAAGGGTCACTGTAAAGGCCGGATACGCATGTAATCAACTTTAAACGATGTTAAATGAAGTCGAATGAATACCGCATCCCATAGGGATTGATCAACGCAGAAAGTTTTGTCCTTCTTGTATCCACCTCTAATGATGCCTAGTGAAGTTAAGTGTATTGTGCATCCTTTAAGAACTGATCAACGCCGAACACCTTATCCTTTGTCCTTTTATAATGACAGCGCTAGCGCCATCCATTAGCGAAGCGTTTTCGCGTCGTTGGAGGAGTCCTTTGTTCAATCGCAGGACACGAGCTAACGAAGAACTCCATCTATTAGTGGCTTTCAAATTGTTACGAGAATTCATTGGAAGGATAAAGTCGATATATTGGTATGCTTCTGTAAGTTATTGTACAAGAGAAATATGAATTCAACCCCCTCTACGGCAATGTGAAAAAAGTTGAAATCGTGGCGCATTCTTAAGGAGTGAAATAACAACGAGTGTATTATCGTCTGGCTTTTTACTGAGCCGCTGCGGGGACCTTGCTTGCATAACTGAGACCTTGTCCAGTGTTAAGACAATCTTGCTGAAAAGAGTTTGCAGACACTGTACACTACAAACAACAAATTGAACAAAAGTTGTCACTACCAGATAAGAATCTCTTCGAACGCAACAACACACTGCAGTCGATTTTCCACTGTCTTATTAGCTTACACTCCGAAGGGGCGTGTGTAAAGATATGAGGGGAGGGAACGTGTGCACCACTGGTGGAAGTGCAGATTCCTCAGGCGTTCGTTCGGATCCGACTGTAATTAGAACTACCAAAATAGAATTGCCTTTCTCGTTCAGTGCTTCGTTAACAGCAAACCTGTGCGGTTAACGTTGAACAACAACGTAGGAAGCTCATCGACCCATCATAAAGAACAAATCGAGACTGAATCTTATTCTTAAAAACCATTCTTGTCTCGATGCACGTGACTACAGAACGGTTTCGTTATTTCATTGCCATGCTGTGATTCCGAATATAAAACTATTTACAAGTAAATAGAAGAAAAAGAAAAATAACGGGGACAAAAAAGAAGCAACCCATCACGGCGGTCGTGTCGACATGTGACTAGACACCATAGCTCTTATGTGACTATCGAATTGATTTCGTATCTCTAGAAAAGCAACGCTCTAGAGGTATCATATTTACAGGATGAAGCCAAGAAAGAACGTATAAAAATACTTCACAGATTTGTACAATAAAACAGAGGAGATGAGAAAATAAGGCCTCAGAACTCAAGATCCCAGCCCGATTTGTCGCTACCCGTAGCAAATGAGTCAATTGCAGGAAATGAGTCGAAATTACTCGTATCCACTTCAGATTTAATCTGAAATTGTTGAATATATGGCATCATTATCAAAGCATTTTAGACCGGAGTCCACTGATAGCTCCAGTTATCTTTTATTGATCTTCAAGTTTTATGTTCAAGACGGTAAATTCTCTCAATCTATCTTCTACACATTAGCTTTGATTAATGGGCTTTCTATTTTCCTTAAGGAATCGCACTTCTAGCACGCTTACTATCAGTAAACATCTTTCCCTTAATTTTGCCACAAGTCGTTATTAGCCACGCCCTGGATGAATTGAATTCAACTCCCATCAACCGAAATGGTACACTTTCGATTACACATTGAAACGAATGCATGTCATAGTCAATTTGTTGAATCCCCATTTGTTTCATCACTATATTTTTCGCTTCTGGTTATATTGCCAATACAAACTTACAACTGGTAACACTGGTGGTTTTATGTTTCGTGCACGAAATTCGACGAAATCGAAACCCTCGAACCACGGATGTGCACGAACGTCATCGAGATGTCCATAACCCAAACGTAAACCTGGATCTTCCTTGCATAAACACAATATCAAATCGATTGCTTTCTCCGTGAAATATCTAAAACACCAAGACCCATTGTCGCAAACACGTATCACTATCAATATTGATTACGGGTCTCACTTACCTAGGCCATGCCCACGTTTTCAAGCCTTTTAATATTGCGTTGTAGATTATAACAGGATCACGATTTATGAACGGAGGACTAAAATAAAGATATCATAGGCTGAAAACAGGAATGCAAAATAGATGTGATATAAAGTAGTAACGTACGCTCCGGAAAGTAACTCGTACATGAATATTCCAAGCGCCCAAAGATCAACCGCTCTATCATGACCTTTGTTCAAAATAATTTCGGGTGGCACTGAAAGCAAAAGAATACGAAAAAGACAATTCTGTGGTATTGCCCGATATAAAATATTCAAATAATTTCCAGAAAGCATTATATAAAAACGCAGCCAGTAAGAATCAGAAAAACATTAAGCTTCTAAGCCAAAAAGCTAATAAACGTTCATTCCATCCTACAGTAAGAAACCATTTACACACCATACTCCGCTGTACCACAAAATGTCCACGTTCGACCCTCAGCGCCTAACCGTTTCGCGAAACCGAAGTCAACCTAAGTTAAGGCACACATGACCTCCGTTTTTCAGTGAGTGACCTAAGCGACAAAAAGATAATAAGAACGAAAAATTCCTTACCAATTTTGGATATCCATTCTTATCTAGAAGCATATTCTCGGGTTTTAAGTCTCGATAGATAACATTCCTATCGTGAAGGCACTGAAAAGCTTCAAGTGCGGCCGCACAATAAAATCTTGCCGATTCGTCATTAAACCGTCCTCTAAATACGAATAGAAAATCGAGATTGTAAACACCAGCCAAATTTTTTGTGGATTCTATATGCGATTCATAAGGCTCACAGAGACCCTAGAAATGCTAGAGTTGAAAGGCTAAAATACTTTCGAACACATATGAGCCATATATGACTCATGTGGAAACATGCATTAATTTACTGCAACTAGCATATGCTTGACGTCGGCAGTTTTATTGTCAGTTGGAAATCGATAAACAACATTTTTCTTGGTTACAGTTCCATACCTCCTCTTCACTGCCGTCCACACATCACCACCAAGACATAGCTCCATAAGCATATAAAGCTTCTCCGCGTCTTTGAACGTCTTGTACAGCCTATAAATTTGCATATATATCTAAAATTATCCAATTAATTTTAATTTGTTACTAACTGCCTACTTTTTTAAACTACCTGAGAAACATGCGAAACGAAGGACCCGCGCATAGTATGGTGCTGAACGCGTTACTCCCCGGAAAGGACAATAGCGCGTTCGTTCCCCAACGCAGACACCTGCGGTCCGGATTTTTGCAAATATCTCAGCATCGTTGAAGTTATATCCAATTAATGTTTTTTAATGGAACTGTTTCCAGATTGTATACGTCACAGTACAAAGAATTCGACGGTAACACACTTCCACGCTCACTTATACTCGTTTTTCCCAGTTATTTAAATAGTTTCTTAGAGAAGAGCACTTTAACTGCATTCTCTAACCTTACTATAAACGGCGAGTCGGCCGATAACAAGATATTTCTCTCCGATATCACATGCGTTTCCTGCTTCAAGTCTACAATGTGCTTCTTGTTCATCACCTGAAATAAGCATGCAAGCTCTCTCCATGGTTGATGCTCACTTTGTGTTGTTATGAAAAATAAATAGACAGACAATCGGTTTCGTTTTTGGAAAATAACTATCAATAAGAAGTTCATTTACCTTCAGTGCAAACACTTTCCCGTTTGCCTTCACCAGCTCAACGCGGCCAAAGCCGCCTACACCTATTGTCGTCACACGATGTAAAGCGGACAGTGATATGGAACGATACTCGTCCGAAACACTAAATCAATTTATTGATCGATCATACCGTATATCCACATCATTTATTTGCTCAATTCAAAACAATATTTACAAGTTTGCTCCCAAAATTGGTAATCTACAGCAATAACGCTGAGATCAGGAGACGAATCAATTAGAAAATGGAGTAATGTGGACCAGTTTGCAGCCAATTCTGTCAGAATTCTTGCTGAAAGTAAGGGCGCGTGTACAACAATGGTTAGAAGTGTTCTGTAATGCTCACGTGGTCCTCGGTTCGATCCCACGCCCCGAGTCTTTCTATTTCTGCGGGCTCGGCAAACTGGTTCTACACTTGTCTGGGAGGATCGTAGCAATGACTTGATATATCGATAGGCCACCATAACTCATCGAAGAGACCAGGTGTGCATTCAACCACCTTTAACTATGCTCGTTGAGGGCAAATGCATAACCCATCATTTAGGGTCTGATCAATGCTGAGAGTTTTATCCTTTATCCGCAGCCTGTCTTCCTGGTTATATAGCTCTTTAAGAACTAAAATGCTAATAACCACTGCCCATTGGTAACAGCACACACCACGTGAACGCAGCTACCGTACTCTGTGAAGTTCATGAAGTGAACTTCGCTCTAATTTTCCTTTTTGCCACCTCGATTGGTAGATTTGGCTCGACACGCTAATGTAATCCTTATCAGATCACGTGCAATATGAATCGTCACATTAACTAACGTCAAACAACAACCGGTTTTATAAAAACCGTCATCTACAATGTAATATTCACATCAGTTAAACTACCGTTACTGTGGTCAGTTATCAGCACCTTTCAGACATTACCCGTCTTGTTGTGCAACGACAATCTATCAGCTAACGAACAACCAGGGCACCCGATTACTCGTAGAAATCTCTAGAGACCTTCAACCGTTTGTGGGTACTGGATAACAACCAATGTGATAGTGAAGCTCAACACATTCAAATTAAGAAACTTTCAATAATAAACACTAGAAGAAAATCCTAGTACTCGCAAATGCCAAGAGAGTATGATGATTACCACAAAAAGCAATTTGATTAGAAGTGTGCTATGTCCATCAAAACTGTCTATGAGACATGGTTACGTCAAGAACATACATCTAGATGATTAGTTTGGCTGCCTTAGTTACTTCTGAGTAATCATTGTTTAGATTCCTTTCACAAAGTGAAGCTATTCACGACAATAAACTAGTTTGAAACTGTTCTTAACGTACATTTATGTTCTCCGTTAAAAGTTCAATTCTCCTAAAACAATGTCCTACCAACTTTACACTAACATTGTTCCCGTTTCCCCAGCTCTTTTTCCATACATTCTCCAAAAGTGGAATACAGCTCATATCACAAATTCCGTCGTTATACTTTGACCTCGTCCCATCTCCGCTCTCTCCCACTCACATCACATGCTCACCTAGTGAATTCGTGCTCCCGAGTGTCCACGTGTACCATCCGGAACTAAACCTCGGAAACCATGTGAACACTAAAATTTTCGCCTCAACACTTGCCGTCGCATTGATGGATCTCAGGATGGCATCACGAAAAATCTTACTAGATAGAATCGAAGAGGAAACTTTGTCCCCTGACCGATCTCATACACTTATCATTAGATTTTATCTGACGTTCCACAGATACGAACGGAAGAATTTCTCCAAGGTGTCAAATAACAAAAAAAGAGTATAAAGAAATATGAGGTCAAAACCTTACTTCAACCCGTGCCCTTAAATTTTATTCTGCCTGTTTTGTGCAAAACATTTCTCTTCAAATCAAACACATTCACTTTCACACGATTAAACACTGTCTGGATTAATGCTTTCCCTTATCAAACATAAGCTAATTTTCTATGATTAAATTGAAAAACCACATGCTTAAGAGGTCACAACTGCTCTGGAAACCCCTCGGGTTTACTGCGAGGCTCGTTTACTAATATCCAGGAAAGAAAAACTCTGTATTGCTGTCTACAACCTTTTTTCTCCTCTGGGGTCTGAGTTTTGTAGATATCTCAGCACCATCGTGGTTGTAAACATGCAGACGCTTATGGTTCAATATGTCTAGGCAGTTCTGCGGGCGATGAAGGAGATGAATACCTCTTGGCAGTCACGTGACGTTTAAATCAGGTCCCGTCCGTCGTGTTCGTCTAGAACTCTAGCGTCTTCTCGACTAGAACACACACCCATCCACTCACAGTGGATTCACATGAATAGCACGTGCCTCAGACATAGCGTGGAAAGACATGTGAATAACATGTGTGTTCCCGTTCACAGCACATTTATTGACTCAAAGAACATCCGTTGTGGGAGAAAATATTTGCCGCCCAGCTGTCGTATTGACCAACATTCTAGTACAATTTGCACCATAAATGCCCTCATCCTAGTATAGAATACCTTAATATCAGAAATAATCCATGTTAAGTTGCTCAATAATGGGACAAAAACAACGAGAGAATATATTCTATCCGTGAAGTACGGTATTATTTAATGTACTGTTATAGTAAAGTATGCCGCAGAGAAATGCGGCAAACACTTTACCAAGGAAGAAAAAGCCCGTTACAGCAAGCTAAAGGCAAATATGATCTCAAAAAGCAAGTTCTTAGTGGATTTCCTGATGAACAAACAGTTCTATTGTTTGTTGGAGGTCCTCTCTCCGCACCACTTTTCATGGATTTACACCAATATTGTACTTGTTGTGATGGAACAGTGCATTAAAATTGCTAATTAGTTGCTTTACTTTGCCGATATTTGGTCCGTAACACCATAAGTGTTCGATAGATTATACGTAATATTCGTTGCCACCTCAGGAATCGCTATCGTACCAGGAGAATCCGAGCTAAGACAGCTGGCAACTGCAAGTGCACTCACATAAGAACTTAACCACCTCTATCGGTGACGAAACGTGTACAAGAAGTGCTGAGACCGGTACAATATCTTAAGACTGACCATCTAAGCAACCAAATAAGTAAGTAAGCATACTCTGATATTCTAGCAAAGGCGTATGAAGCAGACGTAGTAGAAAATTGTACACAAATCATCTACGAACAGCTAGCTGCCTAGATAAACTGAATTCAGTGAGAGAAAAAAAACCCTGAAAATCTGCATGCACAGATGACGGTTGACGTACAAATCGTATCCGCAATAGTACATATATACTTCATTATTTTTGCAGAATTTTCAGAGAAATCAGGAGGAAAAGGAAACCGGATGCAATGATGGGAAAAGAAGAAAACGGGGCTCATGAAAACTCGCCTCAGTTCTGGTCGTATTTCATCATCAAGGTTTGTCGTATCAAGAGCTTTACACAATTGTTCGACATGCATTTCGAGAACAATGCTTACTGTTTGTGATGATGGTGGAGATGGTGGACTCACGCTGAACATGTAACTGATTTTTCTATTGTCTAAATGGGAAACACACCTCAAATAGAACGATCAATAAATACATGTGACACATCCAGCACAATTGGCGAACGAGCGCGAACACAACTTAAAGTACCAGCAAGAGAGATGAGGATTGTTAACATTTATGTTAATATATCGAATTCAACCAGGAAACAGAAGAAAAAAGGTAAAAGGAAATTTTGGTAAAACGAAAGATCTAACAGATTTTTGTGCGCGGATGAAATTCACGTGAACGTCTGGTTTTTCTTCGTATCCACCATACAACGAACGAATATGAGAACGAAATTTAACACTTTGCGCTCCTCATCATCACTAATAATGGGCGGGTCAAAAGAGAGCCACGCCCACTCTGGCTGAGCCTTAACACGTGTGCTTGAAAAGCACCAGTTCAATGTCGTGTTAATACAACACCTTAACGAAATCAGTGATTTCTAGTCATATTAAAAACGCAGATCAAACCCATATAATCAATAGAAGCTAAGGCTCTCGGCGTTGAGTAATCGCTGAGGGATGTGCGATGCACTCGACTTCATCAGGCATTTTTAGAGGTGATTGAATGCATATTTGGTCTATAGAATGACTAGCGGTGGCGCCAGACAGGTTTGATACCCATTTGCCAATCGTGGAGCGATGAAAGGATAGGTGAGTCTGGAGCGCAGGATCGATCCCAAGTGTATTTAAGGGCGCCGCTAACCACTGTGCAGCAAGTGCCCTATTGTGAGAAGATTCCTCATGTATTAGTTCTTGATAAAACCTTGGATGATAACGTTTTTTTCTCTTATTTCTTCTTTTAATCTTGACATACTGTGCAATATCAAATGTTAAAGAACGACATATGCGTTCTATCTATAACACAAAACCGCTTGATATGACTCGGAGTAGCCATTTAGTACACAAACAATATCATAACACATCCAAGACTATATGGAATGATTTCAATGCTCACGTGTCCGAAAACAATTCAGCAACTCTAAAGAAGCATGGCTCAACATAAAAAGCAAAGGGATGAAGCGCTCGGTCTTGATCAAACCCTGAGAGATTTACTACGCATTCGATTTCAACAAATATCGTAAAGGTAATTAAAGACACATCTGGTCGACACAATGGCTTACCCTGGCGAGACCAATGTATCAAGTAGTGTTCTTATCCTCCCAGAGAAGAATGGTACCACTCCGAATCGATGGTTGGTCCGGTTAACACGGATATGGTATCAAATCGAAGATTATGTTCATAGCTATGTACCACTAACCACTCCGATATAGGCGGCCGCCTTTCTCAGCTATAACAAGCCTTATTAATGGACCTGAATATCATTGAAATTTACAGATTCTTCCCCCAAAGTAGATGTCTACACACTCTAATACGATGAAGCTCTAATTTTGGGTAGTCCATGAACCAATTTTTCACTTCATTTTTTGCTGTGGACTCTTGTATAAATCGAACGGCGAGGCAGCCGAACACGTGAGGTTTTTTGCCGAGTGGATATATCGCCCATAAAAGTGGAAATGGCTCAATGCCGATGGTTATCGCTATTGCACTAAAAATTTTTGACACTTTTATTGTATAATAGAGGGCGTGTGTAAGGCAGTGGTTAGGGATGCCTGCCCAGCAATAAGCACAGGATCTTTGGTTCGATTTCGTGCCCCGAGACCAAGTAAGCCTACCGTCCCCCCATATCTGCAAATCGGAACCGTAGTTCTCTGGGTACATAAAATCGCGCTTAAATCAGTAGGCCAAAACGAGTTCTTTTATAGGAAAAATATGTATTTAACCATTTCTACGATGTTTTGAAACCCAATGCATAACGCATGCTCAACGGATTGACCAAGGCCGACTGCTTTATTCCATGCACTTTATCTTTAGCTTCAAAATAAAAAGTTGAAATTAAAATAATACATCTTCCATAAATTACATATAAACCTTCTAGTTGTCATTAAATTTTTGAAACACTCATATTACTATGTTTCGGTAATCGTTTAGTCGCAGAAGTCTTTGGTTGTGATTCTCGCTGAGTCCTCATCGATTCCCCTTGCCCCACTCAAAACGTGCCGTAACACTCTTCTTACCATCGGCTTTCGATGGCTTACCTATGCATCAAGTAATGTTTCTACCCTCACAGACAATTCTAGTACCAATTTTCCAACACTGGCTAAGTGGGAACCTGATTAGCCTGAGGCGCAGGATCGAAAAAATAAGACTTGCATACTACAGGATAAGCTGCACTAGACTCGTTTATCACTATGCAGTGACCTTTTATTAAAGTAATTACGGAAGAATACATAGAGCTACACGATCTATGTTATAAAAACAGTATAAGTGAGACTTATGTCGACGTAAATGGAAGTCACGCGAAACGTTTGATCCGAATGTCCTTGGGTATCGAACTACATGGAAACCTCTACAAAAACTACCGATTTTCGATAAAACCACATTTGAACTCTACGAAACATTGGATTCTTCTGAACGTGAACCAACGAAAACAACACATCACCCAGAAGACGTTGTATCTCTCGATAGTACTTTCACTTTTCCAAAATCCTTGCGCTCTGTTTTCACTGCCCGTTTTCAAATCTACCTCTATTATCAACACGATTCATATCCTTCCAGTATATCAATTTTTAAAAAAAGCCTTCCAAGAAACGTTAAACGACTGATAAGAGCGTGAGGAATGCTTACTGCTCTGATATCACTAATCAGGCGACGTTACGTCGCCATTTCGTTCTCTGCTATCAACGTTAAAGCGTTTGGCAGCGAAACTGTACAAATTTGGCTCAAAGATGGAAAAGTTACTTAGGAAGGAAAAAAGATAACCTGTATTTGATTAGTTAATTGTTTGAAATAGTGGTAAAATAGAAGATAGGCAAGAACTAATCAAGCTGTAGGAACAAGAAGGAATACGATGTGTAGCAAGCTGTTTACTATTAAGCAATACATTAAAGAGATGATACACATGATGATCTATTTTTCAACAACTCATCGGCTTACTTCATAGCATCCTCTACACTTTGCGTACTGCACGGATTACTACGTCTACTACGTAAGCCACAGACCAACTTTG